AACTGTCGGGGGTGGAAAAATGGCCGCAGACCACATGTCAGGGCGGAAAAATGACCGTACCCCAAGGCGGAGTTTGCACATTGAGGTAAATTTTTGCGGCCGGAGCTGGTCGTAACCCGAAAAGTTCATTAGTAGAGACGTTCGTATCCCGAGGTACCACTGTATTTGCTTTGCAATTCATTCTTTATTCATTTCTCTAAACAATCAGATCAACTCAATGTACTTCTTTCCTAATAGTCATTCACCCATTCACTCTTGGCCCTATCTCTTGTTTTATCCTATCCCCACAGCACCTAACTTACTTTTAGGTTTCTCTTGACCCTAAGTGAGGTCTCCTGGTCCAGGAATGGTCACAACCGGCACAGAAAGTATCGATAGGTAAAAGCCCTCTTGCCACAGATGCCACCTGCTCTGCATGCAGGAGCTGTGTGTCTAGGATAACCCTCAAATTGCTGACCACCTCTGAGCAGGGGAGTATAACCCTGTTCAGAGACAGAGATGAATTTCTCTGGAATTGTTAAGTTCACAAACCCAAGCTACTCAGTATTGGAGGGATTCAGTCAGAATCTGTTTCTCCCCATCCAGACTCTGACAGCCTCTAGATACTGGATGAGCATTTGCACCACACTGCCTGTTTGGCCTGGGGAAAAGATGCATAATTGGATATCATCCACATACTGACATACCAAAGGCCATGCCGGTGGGTGATTTCCCCAGTGGTTTCAAGCAGATGCTTAAAAAGAGATGCATTTTTCACATCTACAACTTCTATTACTTCATCATTCCTTTTTCATATTTCTTGTGCATTCATAATTCCATACACTTCTGTGCCATTCTGTAACATAATTCTTTTTGCTTTGTTCTAAGTAGCTTCCATTTCCTCGTTTCTTTCATCTACCTTTGTCATTCTATGAGGAGATTATCTTTTCCAACTTCTTACTTTTTATATATATTTACCAGATTTTGAGGCTGTCCAGCTCCAAAGAGACTCTGGGTGGTTTACAGTTTTTAAAAGAATTTAATTTTTAAAAAATTTTAAATCTCAGACAAAAGCACTTGAATAAGATGAAAAAAAAAAATCACCAGGAGCTCCATAAACACACTTACCCCAGGGCTGGGAACAAAGACTGGTCATAAGAGACTTTGGAACATTTGAAGTGTGGGAGCCATCTTTCATATCTCTGAGGGGATGGTGTTCCAGGGGTCAGGGACCACATTCATTTTTCCTAAGATCTACCCTTGACAGTATCCAAAAAAAGTCTATTTTATATTCAGAATCTCTCATCACCCTTTCTATCTTTCCACTAATTCTTTGTAGCTTTCCTCATATAAGATTTGACCAATCATTTATATTTATATTCATTCATTCGCCAAACTTATGTACAAATAGGCTTACACTTAAACCACATATTCAAAGCAAACAGGCCTTTTTCTAATCAGATACCTACCACTGATGATACTCAACATTCTCATTCATTCTTGGGTTTCAAAATGGCCTAATCACTTTTTTTGTACTGTCTCATCTCACATAGCACAACTTTGCCCAAAACTGATCTCTTGTTGTTCAGTTATCACTTTCATTGTAGTGTCCTTCAAGGTAGACCAGATTAGAAAACCAAAGTCATGGAGGCGAATACTACTTTTATTATAAGATTATAGTAACAGAATCTTACAAGCCTGAATGTGTTTCCCCCCTCCTTCCCACTCTTTATCTCAGGTTATAGTTCTGCCCCAGGCTCAGGTTTCTTTTATCTGACTGCTGTCTTGGTAGCAGCTCTTCCTCCTATCCCTCAAGGTGATTCCTTCTTTCCACTACAGTAATGTGCAGCTATATTTAGCCTATGGATTCCTATTTTCATATACTTCTATAATATTCTAAGTGATAGCAATTTAGACATATACATTTTAGTCCTTTAATTCATAATTAACGCTACAGTTTCAGTTCCCTGTTTCTATTAATCAACTCCATTCTAGAAGATTAGGCCACTTTCATTCACCTCTATGACATCCTTTCCCTTTGTTTCACAAAAACATTATTTCTCTCTCTCTTTTCAAGTCTTAATTCATTCTCTTTATCATTTACTTCTCTCACACTCCAAGTTGTAATCTTCCATATGCCATCATCATCTTCAGATTGACCTAAATATATTGACCTCTGCTACTTATCATGGCTTTATCAACTGAGACCTTCATATGGCACTTTTTAGTAAGGTAGAGGAGATGTAGACTAGCTTATCAGCCTTCGTACTGTTGTGCCATATGCAACATTCCTTAGTAATATTAAGGGCTGTACTAATCAGATTTGACACATTTTGGCCGACAATTGCAATTTTAGCTAAAATATGCTCATGATCTATGTTAGCAAATAACTCTAATCTAGAGACTACCTTGCAAGCCAACATACTACAGCCTGCATCTCACCAACTAGAATACAGCATATGCAGAGTATCGACACGCACTCAGGATGATACCTTGTAAGCACATCTGGATCATGGTTGTTTCTTTTTATTGACAGGTAGCTGCAAAAAGACCAGGTTCCTTGAAGAAGGTGGCTCCGCAGTTCCTCTTGATGTGGTCCTGTTTTGGCACAAGAGTAATTCGGGACATGACTTTGCATAGTGCTCCTAGCTTTGGTACTTCTTCTTTTTTTTTTTCTCTGAGATTTGAGGAAGAGCAATTTTGCACCATAGCTAAAAAAATGTATGAAGGAAGGTGTTTCATATTTTTCAATGCGCACAATGTGTTTGGAAGTGGCTGCTTTCGAGGAGGAAATGGGCTCCAGTGGAGGAGGAGGTAGTAATAATGGTGATGATTGTTTTAGAGTTTTTCTAGAGAAGAAGAATGTTCTGTTTTTTTTTTTTTTCTTCAACCCTAACCCTTCATCCAAGTCATCAGTTTTCTATTGAGGGGTAATATAAAAAGATAGTTGAAATGAACAGTAAGAGGAGTTTGACGGTAGAACTCCTTACCCAGAGAGTCTCCTCTTTACTGTGTTCAGTCAGAAGCTAGACAGCCATCTGTCAGGGATCCTTGAACCCTATAGGGCAAGATGTGA